AAGATCCTCGGAAAGAATTTCTACCGGAAACAAACAAACAAGCAGATACGTAATATGTTTAAAACGCTAGAGCGGTTTTCGATACCTGTGTGAGCACAGCAAAGACATCCCATTGTGTAGCATTGTGCTTAATAACAAACAAACAAAATATTTTGTCATAGTGTTTCAACAAAATAGGAAGAAATTCAAAAGATTTTCTGCAATAAAAATATGAAAAAACTTGAGCTAAACGTTCACAAAGAGAAAACTAGTTATAATAAAATTAAAACGAAAGTAAGACACACATGGAAATGTTTTTTATAAGCCTGAAAACAGGTTCTTCAGAAATGAGATTGATCATTTGTGAGTCAATATTGTTTGGCAGACACTTTTTTTTGCTTTTGCCTGGTCCTGCTTGGTCTTAGCTGATTCTGCCTGGGCCTAGCAAAGCACTCTTGCCACTATAGACTGATCGGGTACTTTACAGATTCTCTTTGTTTCCTCTCTGTTTTTGCACAGAGCCCAGGCTTCTGTCCCTTTAGGTGACTGAGTCTCGCAGTGATATTTAAGGACTGTTAGATATTCACGACTTTTTCGGTTTACGTTTGATGACTGTTAAACTTAGTTATTTTTAGCAGCGCTAGTTTACCGCAAGTTTGTTTGCATGACTGTGTACGAATCACACGTTGTGTTGTATTATTGCATCATGCTACTAGAACCTTCTAAATTTTTCTAGTTGTTTTGATTGAGTGTTATTGCATCATAATATCTCGTAATGTATAGAATGTTCTAAGCCTCAATCGGGCCGTAAATATGCATACAAAATGTAATTCAAGTAAGACATAGTTAGTTAGATAGATAGCTCCAGACTAACTGATTGTGAGTATAGCCATAAAGTGTGTATAGTGGCGATTTCTAAAGTGAAATTATCACAGATTGTATTGTAATAACAGAGCAGAGAAGAAATAAATTGTCTTATCAATTATGCTATAAAGTAACTAAACCAGCCTGTGTGAACTTTGACGAAAAAAAAGACGATTATTTAAAGCTCTGTAACGAATATTATATCATTTTAAAACAAGTGGATTGCGTGTTGTTGAAATTTATCGCCAACAAGTCACAGACACCTACTGTAAAGAATCCGGCCTATACATAGATAAAAACCTGACAAGGACAAACATCTGTTGTATAGTAAAGTGTGATGAAATACTGTTAGGTACTCTTGTCGGCAGCTTTGAGAGGTTGGTTGCTGTTGTCGAACCTTCATTTTTCAATGAAGCTCTGCTGATAAATCAGAAAGTAAAGGTAGCAATGTCTTTTTTGTCCCTTTAATCTTGAAGTTAGCTGACAATCTAAGCTTTATAATAAACAAAAAGTTACTAAATGATGTAGTGCATTCATCCTATTGTGAAACACCATTTGATAGCCACTTTTTTTTACTCAGTCATCTTTCACTCAGGTACCCATCATAACTGCACACAAATGAGCAGCTATTACGTGATGTTCTATAGACATCCCACTGAGAAAAGTTGCTCAATATCCCTGAAAATGAAGGTCACAGCTCCCTTTTACTGATAAATCAACCCAACATAACAAGTACTAGTCAGGTAGTGTATCAAAGCTCAGTGATCACGAGGTTGACAATGAAATCTTAGCCAACCATCAGATATGTTACTTGACTCCTCCACTGACAGTTATTCTTCTAACTCTTCTCAGATAAATAGATAGATATACAGATGAGTATTTCTAGAATCTTCCTTCTTATATAGCTTTAGCTTATAAAAGTATTGAATGCGCTTATGCATTCCATACTTCTTCTGTAAATCTAAGTTAAACAGACTGAAATATCAGAAAACAAGATAAGAGCCTGCCGAGATGGAACAAATTGATTCTGTGTTTCATGTAAGTACCAAAGCCACATATGATCTCTAGCCCAATGTTTGTTCTTTGACTGCTTTATCATAGCATCTCTTCTGACATATGGCAATCTTTCCTAGCTGCCGATGCACAAATTCGTGTTTCAAAAAATTCAGACCCTATCTACGCTACATATACTCGTAGACATGGTGGCATACCTCCTATAAAGAGATGAACAGTACATCGTGCACAATGTGATATGTGTTATTTGGATAACGGTCTATATTCAGCAAACAACCAGCAGACATTTATTGAGTTTTATAATATGCTATCATAACATACGGCAAATATACACCCCCAGTTGGTTCTTTTTGGATAAACAGTGCAATTGAGGTGATGTGGAAAATATGTATTGTCACCATGCCAAATAATGTTGTTGTTTGTTATTATGCACAAATCTACAGAAAGGGATATCCGTGGTGGGCAGATAGTTGTGGTTTCTAGTGGTATAAGTCTGCAGACATTCCACTGTGCTACTGGGAGCCCACGCCAAGTACTTTACACAATTCGGAAAATACTTTACTGTTAAAATTATCTCATTGGTTCATATGAAGTTCTTTAAGTGTTCCAAACAATGATATACACATCACTAATGGGCTTTGCTAACGTAACAACCAAAGGATAAGCTTTGGCCCACTTCGTGAAGTGATCAATAATAACTATAACATACTGATAACCTCATTCAGTCTCTGGGAGAGAACTAACTATATACACGGCTATTCTCTGTAATTGAAAACCTTTTACCCACTGATAATCTTTACAGTGTTTCACTCTGGGTAGCGCACAAAATACAGTGTTTAAATCATTGCTCAACATATAAATACAAATATACTTTAATTCATTATAAGATCTGTGGGCAATGCTGTGATGGCTTTCAGTCCTTGTTTTATGCAGAATGTTCAGTATTTCTTGCCTGAGGATTCTGGGACAGCTAGATGTACCACAGCTTGAGAACTAATTGAACCTTGCAAAAAGTTACTAGAGGACTATCCAGGCTAAATGGGCGAACATGTTTTGTAACGGGATTTGAGCCCGCGACCCACAGATCACAAGTCGAGCACCCTAACCACCAGGCCTTACCTAGATGAAAGTCCTTCAGCTGCTCTTATCACATTTTCTTAATCCTCATCCATAGTGTCTATCCATCAATGGAATTATCGTGCCCTATATCGTTTTGCTTCACTTTCTCTCTCACTTGGAGTGCAATGTCAAGACTTTCAACAAACAGACAAGCTCTCTCCATGCGGCAAAACAATTTTTCAGCATTTTCGTTTTGAGAACTCAGTCAATGACACATAACAAACTTATAAGTCTTGCAATGTAGTAATGAAATAATCGCTTCCAGATTTTTAAATTTCACAAGTCATTTCAGTGGTGCATAATACACACTAACAGTGAACTTTCTACCATACACATAGTGTCACAATGTCTGAGGAATACATTAAATGCAAGCAGTTCTTTCTTCATCGTGCAGTATTGATATTCAGGAGCTATCAGAATAAAATTCATATGTATATATATATACACATTATACCTTTTCTCTGTCCTTTTCTTACTTGTGACAATACCATTCCAATTCCACCATCACTGGCATTAATAACAAACGCTATAACAACGAACGTGCTCAATAATACTCTCTGACTGCAGATCAATTACTCACCGTCTACACATACATTATCATTCCGTCACGTTGTCACCCTCTTTTATATACCAGGCTACCCTATATCTAGTAAATGCTAGAGCATTCGCCAAGGTACAGGATAGTTCTAGAAACGTGGCGTGACACTAGTCATGTGACCTCGCTGACTCAACAATACTTTAGCGCCTTGGCGAAACTGGCTGTGAATCATCAATAATAAAATGCCAAAACCTAGAAAAATTCTACATGGATCTCTCTCGAAGGGTTGGTAGACATTTTGTCCCTATCCACGAAGAGACTTATATATATATATTAGGGAACACTTTCCCGATTTCATTTTCAGTTTGTCCCTTCTTATCTTGCTTAAATACCATACCCGAGTTTTCAGCAGCAGTCGGAAAGATGAATAAGAATCATATAACAAACACTTCTCCCATTGCAGCCCTCAGTTCAAGCTCCATTAGTTGTTTGAATGTGCCAGGCATATGCACAAGTTAAATAGCACGACTTGAAGTGAATATAAGCCATCTCAAAACGCTGAAAGAAGTTTTGGGTCTGTTCTAGTTATCCTGCTTGACTTACACTGCACTTACGCAGGGGGGAGGGGTCGGTCGAACCTCTATTTTAGTAATGTAAACAAATTATATTGTTCTTACACAGCTGCTTATGGTATTTAACGTTTTTTATATAGTATACATTCATCTGATGAAACATTTGCGTTTTGCCCCCAGAACCCTGTAGCATTAGCATGCTGATTGTGCTTTATACAATATGTGTTGGCTTTTAATCTCACAAATTAGACCCCCCCCCCTCAAACATTCTGCATATTGGACTGAAAACAATATAAACCAAAAAGAATAGTATGACTAACATCCATCCACTCCATTTATAAAAAATATAAAGGTTTTTTGTTGTTCATATGCAGGAAGGTATAATTACAAAATGTTAGTTATATCTTTACTAAACTAAATCTTGGCCAACGCGTATATAGCAGTTGTGTTGCTGTTAATTTCTTTAATAAGGAAGGGGGTTTAATTTTCATGATATAACGTATGATCGCCTACTTGTACCATTCTACTGTAGAGTCTGCAGTTTACTTTTGAAGGAAAAAATCTATATTTTAAAATGATTCTCTGTTTGCAGTGTTATAAGCATAATATCAGCGATTCAACCTTCTTAATGTGAGACACATATTAATATATGAATAAGAAGCTTCACCTTTGAATCGTGATAAAGTAACTAACTTCAATCTGGAATCGGGAATAGATAACGAACTTCAGCTCGGGTACGTTGAGAACTTTCCGAGATAAACTTTAAAAGTACGACTGGAGGATCGTAATAATCTGAATTCGCTGATTTGAGCGCCATGTTGAGTAGAGTGAGTCAAATAGCTTATAAAAATAGCAGTTTCGTGGTAACAGATTGAAAAAATAAGTTTAAGGGCACGTAGGAAAGCTTTCAGAAGACAACAGTAATATTTCATTTTCTTTTTTTTTCAGTTATAAACTTTTAGGACAACAGATATAAACGCAGACGAAGTAGAATTTAAGAATATTTGGTAGTATTCGTATAACGTTATACTTATAGCCTTGCCTGGGTCTAGTACTAGTAGGCCTATATGATATATAGGTATTACTGTACAGTGAGTGACTGCCAAGCTACAGTACAGGTTCACTTACGTTACCCTGTAATCTGTATAGACGGGCGTAGCCTAAGATTTGGACTCGGGCTTAGGATTGAGAGTGGGTCGTTAAATCTTAATAAACTCATCTGAACAATATGAGAAGTGGATTTGTTCGAACTGATTTAAATAGAACAGTATGGGAAGTGCCAGAACGTTATCAGTCTCTTCTTCCTGTAGGATCTGGTGCTTATGGACAAGTTTGGTAAGTATTGCCAAGCCTAAGATTTGTCTTGACTTAAGATTTAGGCTAGAATAGTGAGTACAGTAGATTATTTATCTATTGTCACATTTTAAATGGTCAGACTTCTGAGTCTGATTACAATGTACAAGTGGTATAACTAAAAAAGTTTGGAGAAAGAGGTCTGTTACTGTTAGAATTATTAATATTAATGCTGTAATGTAAAGTGTGACTATAAGTGTAAACTCATTTATTTAGAGAAATAAATTGAGCAAGTGTATCATTTATCACTTCATCACAAGTTCATCCCCTGTCATCATCAAATGATCTGCTTTAAAGGATGTTTTTAGTAGTGTCACTAGTGATTGGAATATGGGTAGAAATATTTTTGTGCAGAACAACTGAAGCATTGGTAATCACATTTTTTATTTTGTTCTAGGCACTTTTGCACTTGTTGATGAACAGTTCTCTACCTAAATATTTAGAGCATAAGGTCTTACCTTTAAATTTAAGTAGGGACCTAACAACAAATTCTTAATTTATAAAATCTTAAACTTCAAGCCAATAGTGGATTTGTATAAAATGTAAAAGTACATAAATTCATCTCTTCGAATTGTGGCTCTCTGTCAAACAGAAAATGTTATGACATTTTTGGCATTCATAGAATCATATTTTAGCACATGTAAAACAACTGTTAAATCTGTGACTATTGAAGCTTGACAGGACACACAGTTTTCTTCACATCTTCATAATTTCTTTAAATTTTTGGTGAATCAAACTGAAAATTGAACCTTGAAAAATTAGTTTTCATAATATGTAATTAATTGATCTTTTTTCTTTTTAAATATTTTCCACATTTCTTTAAGCATCTTAAATTTATCACATTTTCTTCAAACCTGGGACAATAGCTCCTCTGCTGTAAAAGTAAGGCATACTTGGAAGTTATTAGATTGCATATAGTTATTAAGTAGAAAGAAATATCCTATGTTAATTTGTTTTTTAATTTGTGTGTGTGTGTGTAGTGGGGGGGGGAGTTTGATATTTTATGATTAGATATAGGGTTGTCTTTCTCCTCCATTACAATGACATTTCTTACTATTTTGTAGCAGCTGATCCCAAGGCATTTATAACAATATGATTGTTTTTGAAACATGCATTATTTTATTGAAATGACAATTTATAGAGTTAAAACAAGTTCATTTATGAACCTCATCAAGTAAATCAGTATAGATATGCATATTTATATAGATGTGTGGAGGAATTCTTCTCGTGCTTTTCCTCAGGTAATTTTACAATTGTAATATTATTATTATTATTTTATATGACTACATCATTAAATAGTGCTGTAATTAAGGGTAGATTTTGATCTTCAAAAGTATGGAACACATTATCAAATTTAGGTTAAAACCTTCAGTAACATTAATTTGCGCAATTTACTGATGACATCACATGAAAACAGGCCTTGATTATGAGAGGGGAAGAATGTGGTATAAGTTGTTAAAAAAACCTAACATGACAGAGATCTTAAGTTTGATCCCACTCATTGTTGATGTGAGATGAGGTTAACACACCACTAAAGTTTTTTCATTTCTGTAAATGTAATGTACAAATCACTACTTATTTCAAAATTGCATGTTAACTTTAGAACTGGTTGATATAGTGAGATTTGATAACTGGTTAATCATCGTGATCAGTAATTGGTTTACATTGAATTGTCCTCATATGAGACTTTGATAGTTGAAATAATTAAATACTAGTTTTGGTTAGTTGATCATTTTCATGAGTTGTGACACTAATCAATTAAACTTAGGCACTTGAACTTGGTCAGTTTGACCAACCTTGTAATCCCACGTACTTGTGAAACTATATATGTATTAACTCTCAATGTACCAAGTGTATCTTCACAAAATTTGGCAAGCTTTTAGTTAATATTACAAGTCTGTTGTACACAGAAAATCATACTTTTTAATGAAGGTTTTTACGAATCCTTTATTAGGTGAGTGTGAGTTAAAGGTAATTTTCATGCTAGAAATAAAACTACTTCTTTTCACCTTGTAGTTTACATATTTCAATTGCATAACCTTTAGAACCTCCTAACCCAATTTGTTTTTTGTTTGTTAACTGTATTTTAAAAGCAAGATGTTACCAGTAGAGCTTAGGATAAATGATCAGATTACATTCATATGCATATCATGAGCTTCAGTTATAAATCAACTGTGATTGTGAAATCTGAAACCTTATCCAACTTAGTTTTGGGACAGTAAGGGACCTATTGATAAATTTCGGCTGTCCCACCCTCTAAACTGAGCTAAAACTATTAAATAAATAAAAAAACCAAAAAAAAACCATAAAGCCAGCCCTTATCATTCATGTACTTATCAAGCTTTTTCTTAAACTCACTTGAATTTACTGCCTCAACATCAGAAGGAAACCCATTCCCTAGGCAAACCACCTTGTTAGAAAAATATAACTGTCTTAGCTGAAGGTGACTCCTACCCTGCCAAAACTTGTATTTGTGTACCCTAGTCCTACTATTCTCGTCATTAAGTATGAAAAAAGATGATGCTTCAACACTTTCAGTTCCTTTTACAATCTTAAAAACTTCAATCAGATCCCCTTTAAACCTTTTATCTATTGAAAACAATTTGAGAGATTTGAACTTCTCCTCATATGACAACCCCTCCATCCCAGGAACAATTCTAGTAACCCTCCTCTGAACCCTTTCCAACAGTTCAATTTCCTTCCTAATGTAAGGAGTCCAAGACTGAACGCGGTATTCCAAATGTGGCCTAACCAGTGACCTATACGATGAAATTATAACCTCTTTAGACTTGTATTCTATATTTCTGTACATACAACCTAAAATCCTATTTGTCATAACACTAACAACAGCACACTGTTTGAATGGCTAAAGAGACTAGTCAACTATTACACCAAGATTCCTTTCTTTTGTGACACTGTTAAGGTTATTCCCATTCAAATTATGTTTATAATTCAAATTATGATAACCCACATGCATTATCTTGCATTTATTTACCCAACTCACTAAATGATCTAAATCATTTCGTAAATCAGCAGCATCCTCTTCACAGTTAGCAACACCCAAGACCTTAATATCATCAGAAAATTTAAGTAATTTATTGACTGTTCCTTCATCTGTGTCATTGATATAAATCAAAAAGAGCAAAGGTTCTAAGACTGAGTCCTGAGTTGCCCCACTTACAACATTAATCCATTTTGACTGAACTCCATTTATAACAACCTTCTGCTTTTTTCCATCCAGCCACTCTTCTTCCCAATTTGCTAACTTATCCCCCACACCAAAAGAGATAATTCATTTAACAAGTCTTTTATGTGGCACCTTGTCAAATGCTTTCTGAAAATCTAAGTACACCAAGTCTACACCCTTACCCTCATCTACATAAGCAGTAACCTTTTCAAAGAATGTCAAAAGATTTTCCCTTAGTGAAACCATGTTGACTATCCAACAAAATGTTAAATGGCTTTGCAAGGCATCTTTTATCAGACTTTCCCAAACTTTTTCCACAACTGATGCAAGACTAATGGGCCAATAATTACTGGAACAATTTTTAACATCTCCCTTAAAAAGAGGAATAACATTAGGTAACTTCCAATCCTCTGGTATCTGCTACTATTCAAGGACTTGCAAATAAAAGTAGCAAGTGGCTCACATATCCCAATCTTTAAACCTCCTTCAAATCCCTTGGGGAAATGTTATCTGGCCCAGGAGCCTTATCATTCTTTAAACTTCCCAATTTTTTTTAACAAGCTCAGAATTAATGCAGTCATCTTGTCCTATCTTGTTCCCATCTATCATCAGTTCAAGATGTGGAATACTGCTTAAATCTTTATTTGTAAATACTGAAGAAAAAGCAGAATTTAATAACCCAGCCATCTTGTAATCATCAGATATGAGCATTTCTTTATCATCCCTCAAGGGTCCTACCCCCATCCTAACAATTTGTTTACCCTTAATGTATTTAAAGAAATCTTTACTGTTAATTTTTATATTTTCAGACAAATTTTTCTCAGATATCCTTTTTGATGTCATAATTTCCTGGTTAACTGACTTTCTTGGTCTTCTATAATCTTCTAAATCTCCTATCATACCAGTCTATTTAAATTTCTGAAATTTATGATGCTTTTCTTTAATTTTATACTCTTTGTGAGCCAACCTGGTTTTTTACTTGCAGCCACCTCTTTCTTTCTACAAGGAATATGTTTACCTTGAAAATTTAAAAATTTTCCACATCTGATCAGTATCTTCAAATAACTCAGCTGCCCAATTCACAACAGATAATTCTTTTTGCATCTCTTCAAAATTTGCTTTTTTGAAATTTGTAACCAAAATACCATTATTCCTTACCTTCATATGCAGCAAAACATTGAACCTAATAGAGCAATGATCACTTGCACCCAGATGTTCCCCAGTTTCCACCTTCTCAATCATTTCTGTATTTGAAGTTAACAATAAATCTAAAATGTCATTGTTTCTAATAGGTTCCTTGACCAATTGGTGAAGAAAACCATCGTGAACAGTTTCAAAAAATATTTTTCTTCGTGGTTTGACTCTAGTATTTCCCAATCACCCATAATTATGACTTCACTAACAGCTGAAATCTTAATCTCTGTGTAAGGTTTCTCGCTAATTTCATCAGTATCATCTGGTGGTCTGTAACAAATTCCCACTAAAAGCCTTTTCCCTTTGTTTCTGTTAATAGAAATCCAGATGGATTCAATCTCCTTGCTATTATTTTTTACATCCTCACCTTCAACAACATGTAAGCCACATTTTACATATAAAGATACTCCTCCCCCTCTTTAACACTTTATCCCTATTAAATAAACTGTAACCCTATATTTCAAAGAAATTTCTGTCATCAAACAAAATCATCAACGTTTAACCTTGTTTCAGTTATTCCCATTATATCAAAATCCTCTGTTCCTACCAGTGCTCTAAAGTTATCTATTTTTATTTCTTATACTTCTAGCATTACAATAGT